TGGTGTCAGTGGGAGGAATAGTGCCCCATCATTGGTGTCAGTGGGAGGAATAGCGCCCCATCATTGGTATCAGTGGCAGGAATTGCGCCCCATCATTGGTGTCAGTGGGAGGAATAGCACCCCATCATTGGTATCAGTGGCAGGAATTGCGCCCCATCATTGGTGTCAGTGGGAGGAATAGCGCCCCATCATTGGTATCAGTGGCAGGAATTGCGCCTCATCATTGGTGTCAGTGGGAGGAATAGCGTCCCATCGTTGGTATCAGTGGCGGGAAAAGTGCCCCATCATTGGTATCAGTGGGGAGAATAGTGCCCCCATCATTGGTGTCAGTGGGGGGGGGGGAATAGTGCCCCATTGTGGTGTCAATGGGGAGGAGGAATAGTGCCCCATCGTTGGTGTCAGTGGGGGAGGAATAGTGCCCCATCATTGGTGTCAGTGGGGGGGGGATAGTGCCCCATCATTGGTGTCAGTGGGGGGTGGAATAGTGCCCCATCATTGGTGTCAGTGGGGAGGAGGAATAGTGCCCCATCGTTGGTGTCAGTGGGGGAGGAATAGTGCCCCATCGTTGGTGTCAGTGGGGGAGGAACAGTGCCCCATCGTTGGTGTCAGTGGGGGAGGAACAGTGCCCCATCGTTGGTGTCAGTGGGGGACGAACAGTGCCTCATCGTTGGTGTCAGTGGGGGAGGAACAGTGCCCCATCGTTGGTGTCAGTGGGTGAGAGGAATAGTGCCCAGTGTCACAGCATGGTGCGGCTGCACACTTACTGGCCACTCCCTCACTCGATTTTCGCGGGACCGCTCGGCCCCCCCGCCTCCTCGCCGGTGATTGGTCGCCTGTGTGCCTTTCCAGTGCTGGCGCCCAATCACCGGTGAGGAGGCGGAGCCGAGCGGCGCGCGCGACCATCGAGCGGCCGAAACTGAAAGAAGGAGCAGCCGCACTTCCTGGACCGGATCGTCGTGGGACCGGGACCGGAGCCAGGTAAGGTACAGCATCCCCCTGCCCGCCCCTGTACTTAGTGTCCCTTCCACCACCGTGCCGCCCCTCAAAAAAGTGCCACCCTGACACCGGCTCGCCGTATACCGGCGTATAAGACGACCCCCCGACTTTTCAGAAGATTTTCATGGGCTAAAAAGTCGTCTTATACGCCGGAAAATATGGTAATATATGAGATACTCATTACATGCAAAGCAAGATAGTTCAAGCCGTTATTTGTCATAATTGTGATGATTATGGCATACAGCTCATGAAAACCCCAAATCCACAATCTCAGAAAATTAGAATATTGTGAAAAGGTGCAATATTGTAGGCTCAAAGTGTCCCACTCTAATCAGCTAATTAAGCCATAACACCTGCAAAGGGTTCCTGAGCCTTTAAATGGTCTCTTAGTCTGGTTCAGTAGGAATCACAATCATGGGAAAAACTGCTGACCTGACAGTTGTGCAGAAAAAAACATCATTGACACCTTCCATAAGGAGGGGAAGCCTCAAAAGGTAATTGCAAAAGAAGTTGGATGTTCCCAAAGTGCTGTATCAAAGCACATTAATAGAAAGTTATGTGGAAGGGAAAAGTGTGGAAGAAAAAGGTGCACAAGCAGCAGGGATGACCGCAGCCTGGAGAGGATTGTCAGGAAAAGGCCATTCAAAAGTGTTGGGGACTTTCACAAGGAGTGGACTGAGGCTGGAGTCAGTGCATCAAGAGCAACCACACACAGACGGATCCTGGACATGGGCTTCAAATGTCGTATTCCTCTTGTCAAGCCGCTCCTGAACAACAAACAACGTCAGAAGCATCTTACCTGGGCTAAAGAAAACCAGACCTGGTCTGTTGCTCAGTGGTCCAAAATCCTCTTTTCTGATGAGAGCAACTTTTGCATCTCATTTGGAAACCAAGGACCCAGAGTATGGAGGAAGAATGGAGAGGCACACACTGCAAGATGCTTGAAGTCCCGTGTGAAGTTTCCACAGTCTGTGTTGATTTGGGGAGCCATGTCATCTGCTGGAGATGGTCCACTGTGCTTCATTAAGTCCAGGGTCAAGGCAGCCATCTACCAGGAGATTTTTGGAGCACTTCATGCTTCCTTCAGCAGACGAGCTTTATGGGGATGCTGACTTCATTTTCCAGCAGGACTTGGCACCTGCCCACACTGCCAAAAGCACCAAAACCTGGTTCAATGACCATGGGATTACTGTGCTTGATTGGCCAGCAAACTCGCCTGACCTGAACCCCATAGAGAATCTATGGGGCATTGCCAAGAGAAAGATGGGAGACATGAGACCAAACAATGCAGAAGAGTGTAGTGTACCAACAGACACACAAGGTGACACACGGGTCAAAATGCCAATTAGAGGTTAATGTCCCACATCTGTGGCTTTTCAAATTGCAATTAGTGTCAGTGTATAAATAGTCAATGATTTTGTTAGCTCTTACTTTTAAAAAGCCACAGATGTGGGACATTAACCTCTAATTGGCATTTTAACCCCTGTGTGTCACCTTGTGTGTCTGTACCAAGGCCAAAACATTCCAGGGTATGTAAACTTTTGATCTGGGCCATTTGGGTGATTTCTGTTATTATTATGATTTAAAAAGGAGCCAAACAACTATTTGATAATAAATGGCTTCATATGATCATCATCCTTCAATAAAAGAGCATTTTTTGGCATGATCAGTCATATTTTCAATATCAATGCCAAAATGTCACAATTTCTGCCAGGGTATGTAAACATTTGAGCACAACTGTATTGTTCGGGCTTGTTTTATTAATTTTTCTTGTAAGGTCCAATCACTTTATTAAAGGATCTGTTTGTTCATACCACACCATTGGAGCATTTTTTGTTTGTTTTACATGGTCAATTTGGATGCAGTGTGTCATCTACCTGATGGGAGACTGAAATGACAAGGTCGGCCTAACTTGTGTCACTAGCCCTGACCCCGCTGGAGTTGAAACAGAGGGAGTCTAGGACCCAGGGGAACACCTCAGGCGTGCACCAGAGCAAGGCAGGTAGTGAGGACAAGAGACAGGGGCAGTGTCTTGGGATAGCCAGGGACATCAACAGTCAGGCAGCACGGTACAGAATCAGAAGGAAAAGCCAAGGTCAGGAGCAGAGCAGAAGTCAGGAACCATTATCAATCAGGAGAGCAATCAGTCAGGTGAGGAACAAGCCGGGTCAGCAACAAAGGAATCACACAGGAACAAGCAGGACATGGGGGGAGCTGAAGACCAGTCAGCACTGAACATGAGCAGAGGCACTCCTTAAATAGGCCGTCTGGCACCAATCTTCGCCGTGCGTGTGCGCGATCGCACATTCCTGCGCGCATGCGCACAACCGGCAATTCTTCTGCGGGAATTCCTATGCGCATTTCCGATCGCGATTCTTCTTGCCGGAAATCCCTTACACAGTGGAATCTTTATCTCGAGTGATCTATCCATCTCTAAATGGGAAATAAGTTCCAGGAAGCTTGTTGGCGAGAGTGGAAGGCAAATATTTGTGGTCAGTTTACATTCATGTGGGGGAATCCTATGGAGCACTTTGTTTTCAATTTGCTGCACATGGTGAAATATTTAATTTCATGGACTTTGGATTACTTTATTACACTTTTTCCATGGACTGTCCATCACTTTTTATGTTTGTTATTTCTTTTTACAGTAATCACGGACTATTTATAAATTCTTGTTACCACTATTGAGTTTTATGGGTATTTTCCTTTACTATGTCTGCAGTCCATTGGTTCAGAATTTTTTTCCTTGTTTTCCTCCTCTAAAATCTAGGTGCGTCTTATGGAGCGAGAAATACGGTAATTATAGACCTGTTAGTTTAACTTCTATAGTTGGGAAAATACTGGAGAGTTTAATAAAAGACCACATAGATGAGTTCTTGCTGGAAAAAAATATTTTAAGTAACAGACAGCATTGATTCATGAAAGACAGAAGTTGTCAAACAAATCTGATCTCTTTTTATGAGGAGGTGAGCAAAACCTCCGCAGCAGTGGACGTGGTATACTTGGATTTCGCAAAAGTATTTGACACAGTTCCCCACACACAGCTAATGTGTAAGGTAAAGTCAACAGGCTTGGAAAAATCCATATGTAAATGGATAGAAAACTGGCTAAAAGATCATATTCAGAGAGAGTAGTGTGGTTAATGATTCATACTCTGAATGGTCTAGGGTTGTCAGTGGTGTACCCCAAGGTTCAGTGTTGAGACCCTTACTTCTTAATTTATTTATAAACGATATAAGGTCTGGGATTATAAATACCATTTCAGTCTTTGCAGATGACACCTGTCAGGGCTCCGGGTATGACCAGAGGTGTGTGGACTGACACAGGGAAACGCAGGCTTCAGGTATAGAGTAAACAAGACAATTTATTAAAAGACTAAACAACACAAACGCAGTGCAAGGTAAACATAACACAGTGCAAACAACCCAACCTCCAACATATAACCATATATACAATCAAACGTAGTCGAGCAGGCCGGGTCGGTAGCAAACGGGTAAACAGGGTACCAGGAGCGAGTGGAAGAGTGGTCAGGAATAGCCAAGGTCAGGACAGGCGGAGTTCGTTCAGAGTCAGGATCAAAGCAGAATCAGGATCAGGCAGGATGCAGGTACAGGGGCTCATGGGAAACATACACCAAGGCACTGATCACAGGCCTGGTCCTGCTTAAATACACCTCCTGCAATCAGCTTCAGGTGATGGCCTGATTGCAGGAGTGAGATTCTGGCTGCTGCGAGAGCACCCGCTGGCCAGCCTTGGTACTGCAGCCCACAAGGCAGGTGAGTCCCACCACCATTGGTGAGTCCATTGCTGACAGTACCCCCCCTCAAGGAGCGGCCTCAGGACGCTCCAAACAGTCCTTAGTGGGCAAAATGTTCCACCGCCCGGGTCAGGTAACTGGCTGGATATCAGGGGCTGGCACATCAGACTGGGCAGCGGGCGAAGGCACATCAGGCTGGGCAGCGGACAGAGGCACATCAGGCTGGGCAGCGGACAGAGGCACATCAGGCTGGGCAGCGGACAGAGGCACATCAGGCTGGGCACGCGGACAGAGGCACATGAGGCTGGGCAGCGGACAGAGGCACATCAGGCTGGGCAGCGGACAGAGGCACATCAGGCTGGGCAGCGGACAGAGGCACATCAGGCTGGGCAGCGGACAGAGGCACATCAGGCGGGCAGCGGACAGAGGCATCAGGGCACGGGCACCGGGCCATCAGGCGGAGCAGCAGGCACCGAGTCATCTGGCAGAATGTTCCACCGCCCGGGTCAGGTAACTGGCTGGATATCAGGGGCTGGCACATCAGGCTGGGCAGCAGGCGGAGGCACATCAGGCTGGGCAGTGGACAGAGGCACATCAGGCTGAGCAGCGGACAGAGGCACATCAGGCTGGGCAGCGGACAGAGGCACAACAGGCTGGGCAGCGGACAGAGGCACATCAGGCTGGGCAGCGGACAGAGGCACATCAGGCTAGGCACCGGGCACTGGCCATCAGGCGGAGCAGCGGGCACCGGGCCATCAGGTGAGGCAGCGGGCACCGGGACATCAGGCGGAGCAGCGGGCACCGAGTCATCTGGCACTACAGCGGGCACCAAGTCATCTGGCACGACAGCGGGCACCGAGTCATCTGGCACGACAGCGGACACTGAGTCATCTGGCATGACAGCGGGCACCGAGTCACCAAGCTCAACAGCGGGCACCGAGTCATCTGGCACGACAGCGGGCACCGAGTCACCAAGCTCGACAGCGGGCACCGAGTCATCAGGCATGACAGCGGGCACCGAGTCATCTGGCAGAACAGCGGGCACCGAGTTATCTGGCAGAACAGCAGGCACCGAGTCACCAAGCTCGGCAGCGGGCACCGAGTCATCTGGCACGACAGCAGGCACAGAGTCATCTGGCACGACAGCAGGCACAGAGTCATCTGGCACGACAGCGGGCACCGAGTTATCTGGCAGGACAGTGGGCACTGAGTCATCTGGCACGACAGCGGGCACTGAGTCACCTGGCACGACAGCGGGCACCGAGTCATCTGGAAGAACAGTGGGCACCGAGTCACCAAGCTCGACAGCGGGCACCGAGTCATCTGGCACGACAGCGGGCACCGAGTCATCTGGCACAACAGCGGGCACCAAGTCACCAAGCTCGACAGTGGGCACCGGGTCATCTGGCATAACAGCGGGCACTGAGTCATCTGGCACGACAGCGGGCACCGAGTCATCTGGCAGAACAGCGGGCACCGGGTCACCAAGCTCGACAGGCCGGATCGGGTCATCAGGCCGGATCGGGTCATCAGGCCGGATCGGGCCATCAGGCTGGATCGGGCCATCAGGCTGTGTAGCGGGCACCAGATCATCAAGCTGGACAGGATCATCAGGCTGGATTGGGTCATCAGGCTGGGTAGGGTCATCAGGCTGGGTAGGGTCATCAGGCTGGATCGGATCATCAGGCTGGGTAGCATACAGCAGATCATCAAGCTGGATCGGATCATCAGGCTGGATCGGGTCATCAGGCTGGATCGGGTCATCAGGCTGGATCGGGCCATCAGGTTGGGTAGCGGCCACCAGATCATCAAGCTGGATAGGATCATCAGGCTGGGTAGGATCATCAGGCTGGGTAGGACCATCAGGCTGGGTAGGACCATCAGGCTGGGCAGGATCATCAGGCTGGGCAGGATTTGTACTATCCTGGTATTTTAGCACCTCACGAAATGTGCTAAGCAGTCAGAAAGTAAAAGCTGTGTAAATTCCATTATCTATACCATAGTTTGTAGATGCTATAACTTTCACACAAAGCAATAAATATACACTTATTGGGATTTTTTGCATATTTTTTATGACAGAAATGAGAAAATATCATTTTTTGAAAACATTTTTTTTCTCAAAACTTTTTTGGTTTATAGCGCCAAAAATAAAAAGCGCATAGGTGATTAAATACCACCAAAATAAAGCTTTTTTTGTGTGAACAAAGAACATACATTTCATTTATCTACCGTATTGCATGACCGCGCAATTGTCAGTTAAAGTAGTGCAGAGCTGTATAGCAAAAAAATGGAGTAAATTGCAGTATCTATACCATAGTTTGTAGACGCTATAGCTTTCACAAAAAGCAATCAATATACACTTATTGGGATTTATTTTACCAAAAACATGTAGCAGAATACATTTTGGCCCAAATTTATAACTAACTTTGAGTTTACCATATATTTTTTTTTAAAGCGCACAGGAGATCGAATACCACTGAAAGAAAGCTCTATTTGAGTGAAAAAAGGAAGTAAATTTTGTTTGGGTGCAGTATTGCATGACCGCGCAATTATCAGTAGAATTAGTGCAGCGCCGAGTAACAAAAAGAGGGGTAAATCCTCTAGAAGGCAAGTGGCTAAAGAGTAAAGAGTCTTAAATTATAGTACTCTGTCTGAGGGGGAACTCTGATGGGGATGTAAGGGGAAATCTGATGTGAACAGACGGGCTCATTCTGATTGCTGCACCATATATGCTGTTTAGTATGTTACTCCTGACCCCTGCACTCTATTCATTGTTTTGTACATTACATAGTCCTGACCAAAGTGTTCATTGTCTCAACGCTTGCTGGTTTTAATGAAGTCCTTCTTTAAGGTAGGCTCAGAGTTGTTCTAGATTACAGGTGCATGTTCCTTCTGGGGATACAGGCTAAACACCCCCAAAAGCAGTAGTAAAGTATGGGCTGAGGTCACCTGTTGCAGCGGAACTGATGATTCATGTGGTGCTTCAGGAGCTGGATGGTGCTTCCTCTATACTGAATGGTGGGAGAAATAGTGCACACGAGCAACACTTCAGTTAGAATCAATGCTTGGTTCCCACACACAGCCTTAAAGTGTTACTAAACCCAAAAGAGTAAGATCAGTCTGTATATGCAGTAAAGCATGCTTGTTACAGTATATTCAATGTGGAACTCAAGGGGTTAATCCTGTGCATTGTGCATAAATGCTGTTTGATCCTGACTTCTCGGATCCTCTCTTTCTTCCAGTGCTCCTCTCTTAACTCCTGATAAGACATAATTGTGTGGAGACACTGCACATGCTCAATTTGGTGTGTATTGATAGTTTTTTTTTTTTTTCTTTCTTGGGAGAGTGCATGTGATCAGCACAGGGACAATCAGCACTGCCCAGACAGAGGTCAGGGGTTCTGAATCCTCCTAGAGAAAACTCCTCCTACAAGCTTTAACCAATGCTCTGCTGAACGCTGATAGAAGTCACAAGACTGCTGTAACTACTGATGAGAAAAGGTATTTAGCAGTTTATATTTACTGAAATAATTGGATTTCCATGTTGTATGTACTGTTGGAGACCAGATATAGTGAATGCAGGGTCCTCGGTTTAGTGACTCTTTAACCTTTACATCAATTAAGCTGGCAGTAGTGGGAAATTTGAAAGAGCATCCAACAGTACAAAACTGAGGTAGCTCCTGGTGCTTCTTCCGACTTACTCACTAAGTGAATTACCAGAGGCAGGGTCACACTGTAGGCTGTGACATGGCTATGGGCTCAGAAAGAACTCTTCAACTAACATAGTAAATGAAGGTCTGGAAAGCACCGCAATAGAAATCCCAATGCCCAAGTTTGTATATAGTAGCTAATGTGAATTAGTGTATCCTTAGCAACAGCTGTGAGGCTGTACCCCAACCCTGGACTGAAAGATTTCAGGGTTAGCCTGGAATTCTAACTTGGACACTGCAGTGCTTTCCAGACCTTCATGTACTATGTTAGCCACTGAGTGCTTTTTGAGTCCATAGCCATGTCACAGCCTACAGCACAGGTGTCAAACACAAGGCCCGAGGGTCAAATCCGGCCCTCCAGGTCATTTCATCTGGCCCTCAGACCTCTCCTGCAGCTGTGGCACTCCCTCGTCTCCACCTTGTCTCAGCAGTCAACAGAAAAGAGGACAGATCTCCTTCGCCAGATCCTGCTGTTCTCCAAGCAGCCACAGAGAGGCTCATTTCTGCAACCCCCCACCATTAGTCTCAGCAATTGGCAGCAGAGAGAAGGAAGGACAGAACTTCTACAGATCCTGCAAGTCTCTGTGCAGCCGCAGCACCCCCTTGTTTCCACCTCCCCTGCAGACTTCAGCAGCTCACTCCAGCCCTCCTTTGGTCATCCTCCAGACCCTGCATGTTCTGCTTTCCAGCTTCGCCCCCAGCTTCTTTCTGGCAGCAGCACAAGGTAAGGGGGGTGCACTGTGATGTATGGGACGGTGGGGTGTGTGAAGAACCCTCCCTTTGTGATAACATTTTACCCTTTCCATTCCAGTTTTATCCCCTTGTTAAGTGGCCTTCCCGTTCTACCTTTTTTTTAAAACTGTATATGTTTAGCAGCTGTTATGTAGACAGGCATTCTGCAGTTTGCTTGGGTAATGGGAACTCGTAGCCTTTCACTTATCTAGATTTCAAACTGTGCTGATTACTGCTGTATTGTACTGTAGAGTTTTGGGTGTGGGTGGGGAACCAGGTGCCAGACTGTCTGGTGGGGGTGGAGGGGGCCAGCACATTACCGCCAGAATGTGCTATATAAGTTGAGTTGTGTTCAATTAAGCAATGCATCAATTCACCCTACACAAAGTTCTGACTCGTGATTTGGGATATCGGGGAAGGATTGTCTTTGAGCTTTAATACCTGCCTTGGCAGAGCGCTGGAAGACTTGCCGGACCATTGGCTGAGAATACGCCGCATCGCTCCGCAAGAGGAAGCCCAGGGTGCTCTGGACATCTAGTCTTACAGATACAATTGGCCCTTTGAGGGCAACCATAACTCTGATGCGGCCCACCATGAAATTGAGTTTGAAATCCCTGGTCTACAGTGTGACCCTGCCTCGGATAATTCACATGTGTCAAGGATAACCTTGACAGTTTGACATGCATTGTCCCTAAATGGAGGATAAAGAAATTTTGTATTCTGGTAACTGTATGTGGTTAAGAACTATTCAGTGTACAAATACCTTTTGTTTTTTGACATTTCACATGCAGGCCAGCAAAAGTGACAAGTTGGGACATATCTTATTGTATTGTTTAACCACTTGCCACCCTGCCACTGCATATATACGGGTGCAGGGCGGCACTGGGGCGCAAAAGCACGTTTTAAAACGGGCTCCGTGCTCCCGACGTTTTCACGGGCAGGGGGCGAGCGCGCGCTCCCGCCGACCCGCGGGTGACACTATTTGATCCCGGAGGGATCAATCATTCAATTTCAGCCAGTGATGTCTGGCTGAAATCGGATGATCGGTCCCTGTCCTATCCTGTCCTGTGTTGACAGTTACACAGGACAGGATATGATGTAATTCTTCTCTGCCTGGACACATTCCGTTCGTGAGTAAAACAGCATATACCCACAGTTAGAACACTCTAGGACATATTTATCCCCTGATCGCCCCCCCCCCCCCCCCCCAGTTAAACCCTTCACTGCCCTGTCACCAGTGCCACTGATCAGTGAACCGATTTTTACTGATCACTGTATCAGTG